TAAACGCACTTAAAAGGCTGTTTGCTATTGTTCGTATGGATTAATAAAAATGGGATCAGTAAGTTGTCACTGTCCGTACAAATTCACCATCAAAGATCGCTGACAGAAGCAGTTCTGCAGGTGTTGTGGCACTCGGTCACGGCAAGTGAGCTGAATGAATGAATGAATGAATGCTGCTGCAGTGGAACTAAACACTCATCAAGTGGATAAGCTCATTAACGGTGTGAGCCTTGTTTGCTCATTAAGAAATACCATGTGAGACCTGTAGCAAGCTCTGCGGATATAATTTACAATCAATGACATTTAGATTAATGTTTTAAAGGTGAGACGATTTAGCAGCGTTTTGAACAAGCATTTAGGAAACATCATTAAAACTCGCTCGTAGTGGAGGAAGTAGTGTCTGCAGGACGTCATCCCGGGACAGATTTTCTTCTCAGAATTAAAAAAAATAGCTATTCAGATGTACAATGTGTTTGCATTTTACCTACAATGTACCAAACTGTGACTGCGATGCATCCACAACCCAGACCATGACCCTGAAGGAACTTTGCATCCCCCACACTAACAGTCCTGGATCCCAGCGGTAAACTAAACGCTGCTTTAGGTTCAGCTTGTCCACGGAATTGCAAATATAAGTGTGCAAAACAGCGCTCCTATTAGTATACTGTAGGTCTGAGGCATCAGTAGCCTCAGGATACTGCAACTCATTAGCATTTTCTTGCATCTTGAATATGAAGTGGAGGCAAATCAGGCTCCAGCAATCTTTCACCATTTGGGAAAACGCAGAAACACAGAGCAGCATGTCTGTGAGATGGTTCACTTAAACTTTCTCGTATCTTATATCCCTTTAACCATTGTGTTCTGTGAGAAATTAGATATATAATGTTAGGGAACTTTAAGGTTCTCAAGAATAAGAATGAACTACAGCAGCAGTCTGTTTGTGTTAGCAGAGGCCTAAAACACGTGTTTTCCATGGATTCGATTAGTGGATTCATTGTTTCCTCGATGAAATGTGAAAAATGTCATCACGTGTTCTGGGGACCCTGGCTTACGACGTCTTCAAATATCTTTGTTTTCTCTGAGCAACAGCCCCAAAACCACAAATATATGTTATAATAATATGATATATGCAACATTAAGCTGAGACAAGCAGCAAATCATCACATTTGAGAAGTCAGAATCAGTAAATATTTGCTATTTCAGTCGACCGACCACCTGAAACAATTGATTGTTGCAGATTATTACGAACTAATTCATATTTTGACTAATTATTTCAGCTCTAAAGTGCAGGATTACAATTGTGGATGAATATAAATAACTTATACAACATTGATATGCACCTGATTAACCAAATAATAACAGCAACATGAGAGGGAGTCTCATCATATCACACACCTTATTAACACCGTTATGTAGCCTTAAATAACTGGGCCAATAGATTAGCTTTATGGAAGTATTCAGAGCACATAAGTGGTCCATTGAGGTAGAATGGAAGAGTTCAGTTTGTTTGGGGGGGGGGGGGGTCAAGGTAACCAAACAGCCTTGAAGTCTTGACTCAGAGAACACAAAAAATCCCTTGAAATAGATGTTTAATTTAGGAGCTACATGTAGGTTAATCCGCTACACGCACATACTTGCCATAAATTGGAGTTAATGTTTCCTCACGTTCATTCCGTGTTAATGTGGAGACCAGTTTTGGTGGCAGTCGGTCACTCTTCAACTGCTTCAAATTACTAAAAAGCTGAACTACGTCCTAGTTAAATTGCTTTAAAGCGAAGCTCATTTATTAGTTATTTCCCAAATGAGAATGGTTTGAACACTGGGGAAAGGAAACAGCAAAGTTAACGTTAATGCCAGCCAGGGCGAGCGTTGAACAAACCGCATCCCATACTTTCTTTTAGCTTTTGAAATAATCCACAAAACACACAATATCACTCACGTTGACTTGTTCCAGGGGACGTCCGACAGGTTTGTGTTTCTTTACCGGCGGGAGAAGCTGCCAACAGTCGGAGAAGAGTCCGTTATTTTAGTTGTGGAGCTAAGGGGTAGATATAGTTACTGTTTTTTTTCGCTCATGCCTATCTCCCCCTTCTCCCTCTCCCGTCGCCTGTTCCTGCTTCCCCTGTCCACATCCAGCATTCCAATATGGCCGCTGCTGGGAGCGACACACACACACACACACACACACAGAGAGAGAGAGAGAGAGAGAGAGAGAGAGAGAGAGAGAGCAAACTACTCCCTCAGAGGAAAGCCCGGCCTCAGGCACAGCACACAACAGCCCATGAATGAATGAATGAATGTGTAGGTAGGACTTACTTTACATGTTCAAACTGTAGTAAGAGCAGAAGTAACAGAAAAGTACAAAGACGAGTTATGCATTCAAACTCTCACCAAAGTTAAATAAAAGTATAAGCATCAATACATCCTTACAGTACCGAAAACATTATACAGAATAGCCTATTTCAGAATAATGTGCAGTGCATTTACATGATTGTATTATAGTTATTGATGCGTTAATGTGTACATCACTTTAACGCTGCAGCTCTGTGCACAGGTACTAAGACGACACCTCGTGGCCACTACCTGTTACTGCAGTAGTAGTGTTTAAGTATAGGCTATAACAACACAGACCTCTACACACATTATCGGTTATAACTCTTTATTCTGCTTTGTGTATGAAGGAGACATCCGATCACCAAGGCACATTATAGCATAGCAAGAAAAGTGTTCAGTTTGCTGAGCTGCGATCGTTATCATTTTTAACTCTGATGGCACATCTGTTTCAGAGCTATGAGACCAGTAACGTTACTGGATGAGACATGGGGCTTCAGATGATGTGAAAACTGTGCCACCGATCTTTTTAATGTTATTGTATTCACGGACAATCTCAAAATAAAGTTCCTCCATGAAATGAACCTCCATTATTGTTCTCTTTATTCCATATTATTTACACTGAAAATGAAAGAGATGTTTCCTATAAAGAGAAAAAAAATATTTGTGTAACTTTTTCTGCATTCTAAGGTTTCTCCATCCATCTCATCACCTCCCTTTGTAGCTGCAAGGGCCACTATGGCACCTTTGCTACTCTCAAAATGTCTTCTTGTTTTAAAGTTTAGAGTCTATCTCTTTAAGATGCAGCAGGTCAGTGACACAAGAATGGAACAAGAGGCAGAACTGGCAAAGCAGCAGAGGAGAGATCTGTTGTGCAGGATTCAAAGTTCTTTAGTCTGAGTTAAAGCATATTAGAACCCAGGTGATAGACGAGGCTTCTTTAGGCGGGCTGGATCTCAGCATGTTGAGATGTGTCGGCTGGCAGTGGGTCTTTGAGTGCTTAGGGTTGTAGAGAACACGGTTAAGTGTCAAAGTCCCAAATATAACAGCTACTTCTTCTAACTTCTTCCTGCTATCTTCTTTAAAAGGCTGCAGTGTTTGGTTGGCTGGAACAGCAAACCTCTCTCATTTTCATACACTATCTCGATTCTTTCATTTAAACTTCTTTTAAAGAATTAATACTAGTTCATTTGCAATGTATATTTAATTCTTCCCTACTTGAAAGTCGGGCTACCTCAGCTGCAGAACAGAACCGATGAAACAGTTTGATATAAATCACTGAATAAAACCTGATCAGTTGCATTACAATAAATTAAACAATTACACAACAGGTGACAACCTTGTTGTCATGACATGTGAGGTATTCAAACACTGCAATAGACTACATATGCATAATAAATGATTAAATCCTGAATTAGATTCAGTATTATTGCCTAAATGGCCCCCAATTACAATCAGACGTGACCTGGGCTGGGGGAGAATAATAGAATAGGAGAAACACTCCTACTTTTAAGCATAAAGAAGGACTTGGGATATTAATAGATTTTTGGATATTCGTACAGGAATACTAGTGGAATATTCATTTTCATGAGCCAGGTAAACAGCGGTGTAGGAGTATTGTCATTTTCAGAAGAAGGCCAAAAAACATATTTGGTGCATAAACGTAGTCAATGTTAAAAGTATGATAACAGGAGTTTTTGGTCTGAGTGTTGAAACCTCCAGAAAAATAAGCTGTGCATGACACAGTGTACTTAGTCTCTGTGGCTCTTATGTCTGTGACTACAGGATGAATACTGGCCCTGCTGGTGTATCTTCTACTGTTGGCCAAGGTGATACAAAAGATGAGGAAAAGTTCTTAACTGTCGATGTCGTGTTGGATCTAGTGTCAAGCCTGCTTCAAAGAGTGCAAGACTGAAAAGCTGGAGTTTGAAAGTCACACCGTCAAATCCAATTGTAGTCTGGAAACAAAATGCAGCTGGTGGGTCACCATGTCGAAGGAGCCACCAAGCTCTCTGTCCCTGGGCCTCTTCCTGTGTGGCTGGCTGGCCCGGGATTCTTCCTCAGAAGGGGTCAGAGGTCAGTGTACTGACTGTGCCACCTGTAGTAGATGTCAGGTTCGCTGCAACAACCAGGGGCGGACTAATTGAGTGCCGGCCCTGGAGTGCAGCATCCATTACACTGTACCACTGCCAGGTGGCAGCGGTCCCACTACCAGCCTACTACCAGCATTAGTATTAGCATTAGCATTCTTTCATTCTCATCACATGTTTGTGTGGTAGTTTTGGGGCAGGTTCTCATATTTAGTTTAAAAGACAAATACAAAGTAAAATATTCCATTCTAACAACCAAAATATGAAACAATTATAAACAGTTGTAAAGAGAAAACATCACAGCTACTTCATGGCTTGTATTTGTGTAACATTTGTGTAATAATAAAGCAGGCTGCATTGATTTATCTGGTAATTCAATAAGTTATTGTTTCATAAAAATCGCATAAATGTATTTTTTAATTGATGTCTTTTCATGTAGCAGTAGACAAAACTCACACTAGATGGCGCCGAGGTACTCTTTAGCCAGATCCCTGAAAAAAACTTTTATTTTGAAAAGTGGGAAGTCCAGAAAGTGGCGCTGCCAGTGGTTTTAGTTTGACAGACAGCGGTGAACCACACTGCAACAGTTAGAGACGGTGCTGGACTTGGTGCTGCAGCGTTTAGACTTGCTCACAGAGTTATGACAGCAATCTGCAGCTACCGTCTTGTGTGTGTGACTTCACCGTGTGTCCAGTGGAAATGATCGAGACAAGTTAAGGTCAGTCTTTGATTCTCACGTTGCTGTGTTAAGAGTTTTGCTCAACTGATAAGTCAGTTTCATTGTCCATTGACAATCTTTACGATATTGCCATGCTCCTATTGCTGTTTTATTGCTGTCTGTGTGTTTACATTAACGTCACTGCTGGTGACAGACTTCTTAGATATCTAAGGTAGAATTAACGTGATCATAACTGTTATGCGTTATTGAAATAAAAGGCTTTTTTTTTTTGGTTCAAAGTGTTCCCAAGGGAGGAAAGAGAAAGCAGTAAAAGACTTTAAAGACTGTCTTGGTAATATATGCCTCAGTCATTTCCTACTGCATGCAAATGTGTCCACTGGCTCATGTCATGAATGATGAGCTCAGGTTTTCTCACAAACCAGCCACAACCTTGTAAATGTTGTCTGGTTCCCATTAAAGGGACATGTCACCCATTTTATGAGCTCACCCTCTTCCTGTGTCCCAGAACAGCTCTTGTGAACATGCACTGCTCCATTTGTGATTTTCACTGGGATGTGAGGTCAGAGGAATGAACATATGGTCCAGTTTAAGTTCAAACGCTAGTGTCTGTTAACAGGTTTCAACATCATTGACCTATTTACTGTCCATGGGACTGTGCCAATTTCCAATTTAAAAACTCCATCTGATTATACATTTTGAAAAAGTTGTTGCAAGTTTACAAACACTGGCTGATCTGTCCTGCAGACCTGAAATCACTACTTTTAAAGCTGGAGTAGGCAGGTTAACCTTTCAGCTTATTCTAAGTCAACCCCAGGGTAGGCAGATTTCTGGAAAAGGGAAATAATAAATAAAATAAAATGCCAGAATAAAAAAAACAGCCTTCATCCTGCACCAGTAGCTATGTTGCTAATAGTTTGGTGTTCTGCTAACCATAGCCGTGAGCAGAAGGCTAATCTATTAGCGACGTTTTCTCTTCATCTCTGATACGCTTCATCAATATTGTCAGACTCTCATTTTGATAAGTCTGTTTTCCTCGGTGCTTTGCAGTGAAGGCAGCTGTTTGCAACGGTGGAATAGCAACTTTTTCCGCAGGATATTCTGCCTTTTAATCAGGCTTTCACCAGAGGGATGTGCACATTCATCTGCATTTTGCAGAACAGCCAATAGGAACTTCCCCTCTCTGAAACGACCCAATGATTGGTCAAAGTCTCCCGTCGCATGCTTGATTATCTAAAGACTAAAAAACAGACACAAGAGGAGGTGCAGTAGTCTAGTTTTCTCCCAGGCCACTTGAATTCCAATAAGCTGTGAGGTTATTATGGAGTTTTTGCTCTATGATGCCAACAAATAAACTGCCTACCTCAGCTTTAACCACTTCCATTATGGAAGCGGCCCTCTTTTCCTCTTTTCAGTTCTATAAAACAACAAAACCTGCTTACCAGCAACTGCTTGGTGAAATTGTTGTCGAGTGCATCAATGTAGCTTCCTCTCTAAAATATATGCAGACAAACTTGTTAGTTAAAGCTCCTGGACAGCCTCTACATGTCTGCATGGAGGCTACCTCCTCAGTCTCACATGCATGACATCTGCCTTTTATTAAGTGTGTGTGTGTGTGTGTGTGTGTGCGCGCGCAACAGACTGTCCTGCCAGTTGATCTGTGTGAGATAGTTCTAAAACTGCTATGACGGTAGACATAGATTGAGTTTATGAGAAGTGTAAATGTACACGCGCTCCTACACACACATGGTTTCCAAAATTAGGGGTTTTCAGGGAATAAATGACTTAACTTTGTGTGTGTGTTTCCGTGACACAGCAGGGTTGTTAGTCAGAGGCCAGAATGGCCCAAAGGCTGAGAAAGAGAGAAAGAAAGCAAACAAGCGTGTCGAAGGTGAAGAAAGAAAAGCTAGTCAAAACAGAAAAGAGGACAAAACGAGAGAACAAGTACGGCTTGAAAGAGGAGGTGAAAAGTAGATAAAGAGCAGAGCAGGGGGGTGATATGAGAGAAGGTTAGGGAGAAGAGAGGAGGAGAAATGAAACGCATGAAAGAGAGGTTGAGAAAATGTAACAGAGTGCAGTTTTGTCTCTCGAGCCAACTAATGGAAGTCATACATTGTAGTTGCGGATCTGCCTTACGCATATAGGTAGGTAGGTTGATTTGTAAGGACTTAAGGGGCGATGATAGACAAACAAGTCTTTGTGTACTGTAACAGGTTATTTTTGTCATCGGGTGCGTGGAAAGTAGCTCAACCAATTTCAAAAAGATTACATGTTGTGTTTCGGAGGAGAATACACACAAAAGGGCACGGAGGTTTCCTTATTTAAAACCTCTGCACTAACCCTCCATATATTAATTTTAGATACCTCTATGTATAGTGTAGTTCCATCTTATCTACAAAGGGCACTGTGCTCAGCTGACATATCTTTGATGGTTAATTCTAGCGTATTTTCAGAAGGCTATTAACTTGATTTAACTTTGAGAAAGATGGGCAGAAATAGAGACATAAGAAAGAAGGAGACAGCCTTAACATCAACCATTTTAGTGTCACATTGTTAAACGTTGTGATAACTAATCATATAACGTATACTGGTTTAAAGTATTTCCAAAACGATTTATTTGGAACTCAACAGATGTTGTTTTAGGTACAGTTCGGTGTAGTAACTTGGTTTTCCCTTCTTTGATTCTGATTCTGATGACGAATCTGGTTTACTGCACCAGTGACCAAACCCTAACATCTGTTTGTTTGAGTGAGTTAGATGTTTAGTACGTATTTGTGTCGGAGTGTGTATGTGTGTCAGCACAGATCTGGAGGAAGTTGCCGGAACAGGGTGTGGGTGAGTTATCTGCTGGTTTTTACTTTTAGCTGGTGCTGTATTTTGCAAATTAGATTGATCAAGCTGTAGTTTTGTCATTTGGAAAACTCAAATGAGATCAGCGTCTGGTTTGGGAATGTTTTGTAAGTCATGGCCAAAATATGAAATCTTTGAACCATCACCACAGCCCCTTATTCTGCCATCTGCCGTCATTAATGTTGTCAGATTTTTACCAGTGGTTCTTTGTAAATACAGTAAGAGTTGGTGATGCATATAAAATATTTTAGCGCAGTATGTGTAATATTTATATAAACACATTTATATGATGATGATCTCATCTTATCTAAATGCACTGTGTGTGTGTGTGTGTGTGTGTGTGTGTGTGTGTGTGTGTGTGTGT